AGGAGGGACAGAGCTTTTAAGGGGGATATAGCAACTGGGCTCCAGGCTAGGCGGCCGAGGAACCGGTATTCTCTTCCTGGCAGGGGCAACGTGCAGCCTCATATACGGGTGGGTGGCTGTTTCCCGGGGTCGTGAAGCTGACCACATACCTCCATCTAGTGCCGGAGTTAAGAATCATGGAGTTATACCTCCACTTCCTTAAGTGTCTTAATGGCATGGTCCTTGATTAGTTAAGTACAGGGATAACTTTACTTTTAGCACGGTAAAGGCCGATCACAGTGGCCGCGCGGTGTAAGGCACGAACTGTCTTCGCCTGCTGAAACACTGGGGTCAAGAGTTCGAATCCCACTCGATGCATGGAGGTTTATGTTCTGTGTTTGTATTTCCCTGTGTCGGTAGCGGCTTAGCGGACGGCTGATCCCCCACCCAAGGTGTCCTACCGTCTATATGAATAATAACTATAAGAAAGAGGCCACGGTTCATTATGGACTGTAGCGCCCACAGATTATTATTACTATTATTATCATTGCACGGTGACGGCGAAAGTCACGTGAAGGTGAGTCGAGCGGGACGTTTCTGTCAGTGCGAAGCTCCCGCCTGTCGGCCAGCTGTGATGATTCATGGGACGTATCTCCACTATGACAGCACGGAAAGCATGGCGTCTACCTCAGCTTTGCTCATATCGTTACCATTAATTTTTCAATAATCTGAACATGTCACGCGGCTAACTAGCTCCACGGTGCTGATTCCCTCTTGAGAAGCCATCAGTTGCTCAGCCACTCAGCCTGAGCCACATGAATCCAGTCTACACCCCCATCCTCTTTCTTTAAGATCCATCTTATGAATTATCTTCCATCTAGTCTAAGTCTTCACAGTAGCCTCTTTCCTTCTGGATTTCCTATCCAAACTCCGGGCGCTACATGCCCTTCCCATCTCATCCTCCTTGACTTGAATATAAATTAGATTAACTAAGTACATAGAGCAGAGTCCTTTTGGTGTTATGGAACCATGTTAATAAAACGGCTTTAAGAACTGGGACACTAATGGCGACTTCCGTCATAGTATCTGGAAATTTCGTGTTATTGACTGTGATAAAGTTTTGAGAAAGTTGAGCGGTTTTAAATGTGGGGGGGGGGGATTTCTCGTCCCCTGAGGCACCATTTGGCCTTTCGCTAGTCCTGCAAGCGACTGTGAGTACAGTTCATTATGGGCTTCTAATATCTATGAAAGCCGCACAGTTTCATGCCGAAATTTTTGCGAAACGCTGGCGACTGTTTGAATTTGGCCTGTAAGTCTAAACTCGAAATTTTCTTCGCTGTCGAGTGGTTGATACTCTTGCATCATATATGGGAGGTCCCGAGTTCAATTCTTAGCCGGGAGACTGGCTATTTCTCGTGGGGGTCTTCGTTGTAAGATTGAGGTTGCTGGCAACGGTAGTAATGAAGATGTAACGCCATGTAGTCCGTTGAAAGTCGACGGACATTTCGTAGGAACATGTTGCCTCCATCTTCAGGGTTGAAGAGTGAGCCAAGCAAGAAAGTTTCACGAACGTCGGTTGGGTTTCAACGGATTACACGGCGTTATATTCCAGAAGACAAAAATCTTTAAGGGCTTCCGCGTTGTTTTCCTCAGTCCCTCCAAGCAGATGAACCGACACACATTTAATTAGGCCACGACATTTTTTTTTTCACATCCTTTCCAGTTATCCACTAATCGTCATGGGCGCCTCCATCGGTGGTCAAGCCGTGCGTCTGTTCCCTCTCCCGTCATGGATTTTTAAAAATTCAGAATTGAGAAAAGAAGGAGACGTACGAAATATTAATAGCAGTAATTGATAAGGTTTACAGATGTATTCTTCCCTTAACTTAAAATGAGATCTCTTGACCTTCACACTTTGTATTAGTAAGACAGCGTTGAATGGTAAAAACGTTCATTGAAAACTTGCCTTGATATATACACCTTACATTTTTCGGTCCCTCGGACCATCTTCAGAAACTTGTACGGGAAAAGGATTAATGTGCGGGTAAGGACTATCCATTTATAACACGAACGTCGGAGGTCCTATGGCTCCGAAACATTTAAGGCGATTTTACCCACTCAGCTTTTTAGTAAAGTCCGTTGCCCTGATGGCTGTCTGAGTATAGTCTTCCTTCCTCAGGGCCTTAGAGCAGTTAGCAAGAGTAATTTTAAATAGCTTAAACTTAAGATCGGAAGGAATTTTTCTGGCATTTTATTTTATTGCTAGTGGGATGGGACTAAGTCCCTTGTACTGCGGCCACTTTTGGTCTATTGTAACAGCCCCAGATGGTAGATGAGGGTGATTGTGGAGCAATTGTGGAATGAAGATTGGCAGGGGAAACCGAAGTACTCGGAGAAAACCTGCCCCAGCGCCACTTTGTCCACCACAAATCCCACTTTACCAGACCCGGGATCGAACCCGGGCCGCCGCGGTGGCAAGCCAGTGACTAACCGCTTGAGCTATGGCGCGGCCCAATTTTTCTGGCTTCCTCCTTGGACATATCCTGACTGCTCATGCTGTTTATCTTGTAATTTGAGTACTGACAGCTTCGTTGAATAAACCAAGTGACTCACTTCACTGTTTGGTGATAATGGTAAAGTTATCCCTGGGCTTAATTAATTAAGGACCATGCCATGAAGACATATGAGGGAATGGAGGTATGAATTTACCATTCTTAACTTCGATATTAGGTGATGAATAGTCAGCTTCACGCCCCTGACGTTTTATCCCGGAGGAAAAGAGTGCCCGGTACCGCATTGTGTAGCAGGCTACTTGGGCCCAGTAGCCGGTCTGGACGTTATGGAGGAAAGGAAAATCTTTTGTCGCTGTTGGAAATGGAACTCCAATTCCTCGGTCGTCCATCCCCTAATCTCCTTGCTGCACTGACTTATCTACCCCGGCTAATGGTGTTACGGATAGAGGATTTAATCGCTAAACGTCACTTTTCAGGAGACGTTTTGGTGATATTGGTACTTGACGATACTCTTGATGTATCATGTACGTTTGTGTTCAAGTTTCCTTCTTGTCCTTGATATCTTGCACGAACAGAACAACACACAGTGCCATTTGTCGAATGTTTAGAGGACGTATGACACGTTCCGAATATAAACCCATATCTCGCACGTCCACTGATGGGTTTCTTCATAACGTTGGCATGTACGTACAAGACTGCACTGTGTCACAACCCTAAAGACCACAGTCAGAACATTTTAGCAGTTTCATATTTATATTTTTAAAAATTCTTATGATATCATAAGCTTAATTTTTATTTGTAATTTATTTAACGACACTGTAACTTATCTCACATTGTGTCGTGTCGATAGGAGCCTAACAATAGTACATATACGTAGAACAGGCTAAAGAGCCTGAACAATGACACAGTTATTGTGTTCCTGAACATTATCCATCGTCCTGTTTTGATTTAAAACACGTCCTTTCGGAGACTGGATTCTGTCTCCGTCTTCAGGTGGAACCTATTGAACGCCAACACTAACACAAGATGTGATATATAAACCAAGCACAGCATAAACCATCTGCGAGAGTTAAGACAGACATTAGAAAACTCCATACACACGAGGCCTAGCACCTATGTCCATGCACTGTTTCACGGTTACTGTTGTTAAAATCAGAGTACTATCAGAATAGAATTCATCTCTAAAGAGACAAATTCTGTGTATGGTACCAACATAAAAACACAATTTTCACACATAATCTACACTGGACGGAGTTGCAGTTTCTCCCAGGACGACTGACAATGTAGAGCCTCTATAATTATATCAACATACCGTCGTCACAGAATTTTAGATCTTAACTAAACCACGACGACAATGATGATGATTATGGTATTAATTTTTGTCTAATAAAGATTGTCGACATATTAACGACTGGAAGGTCTGAGATTATGTTCATGACATGTTTTATTGTTTTATATTTTACTGCAGATCACACAGTAATGTTAGGATGAACTGGAATATGTAGGTAGGATGTGAAGGAAGGAATACATGCAGAAGTTTGGTGAGGTAGCCTGTTTACTCGACCATTTGAAGGACGGAGATAATGGTGGTAAAATTAAGACGGGTTCTAGGAAGGCAGTTGGTTGCAAGTGGCCCATGATCGGGCCAGTTTCATTGCGTTAAGAGGTGATGAACAGGCAGATCGTGCATTGGCCGATCTGATTGTCTGATGTAGGCCAGTATGCTAACGTTTGGTAATACGTTACACTTATTTGGACCAACTCTGTGAGAAGAAGTCTTTCAGTTAATCCTTATTTGTTGACTACGTTTGTCGCCAGACAACCAATTTGGACGAAACTTGGCAGAAGAAATCCTGCCGGCCGGGAAGATGGAGCTGCCTTTTTTTCCAGCCTGTGCAGAGCGCGGCGCTCTACTATTGATCTCTTCGGAGCGTCGTTCTAATGTCATTTCATGCAGCTCGCCCCTCTGCTGCCCTCCCTCCACCATGCACCGTCCCTTTTTGCCAAAACCCAGTACCGCAACCAACCGACCTGCCAATTGTTTCTGTTTTATTTTTTGGGAGGGGGGTTATTACCCCCCTAAGTAAACGGTACGTAGGGGTTGGGAAGGGAGGATCTCCGGAGCAACGAGAAGAAGGGGACTGAAATTTTGTATCTTGGTTGCACTTGTGTGTTCTGGCAGAGGGGCGAAAATGTACGGAACGCTGCGTCTTCTTTTCTCCTCCCTTCAGTGGCCCCACTCCTTCCCAAACTGAAGAGTACTTTGTCGGCGCCGCACCTTGCTGCCATGTGGAGAATATAAACAAATAATACTAGGCTCACTGAGTGGCCAACATCAGCTGTGATGGAGGCCCCGGAGCGCGCGTAATGCCTGTCGAGACCAAGTGGAGGGGTGGCCACACGGCGCATGCTCAGTACCGTAAAACGTCTCCCACCACGCGGGTCCCGTAGTGGAGTCTCTGCCGGACAGCCGAGGCCGTCGAGGCTGCAGAAGCGAGAGCTCATGTCTGGAGCGAAGAGGTTGTGTTGCTCCCGGCTAGGAGCGGGCGTGGGCACCCATCACCTGCTCATGCCAGCTTCCTCTTGTAGTTCCTTCCTGCTGTTGGGTGCTTGTGCTGGTGCGAGTGCTTTGGTGCGCCATGGTACGGCGGGCGTGGTGCGAAGCCCGGACACTTTACTGGACATCACGGCCAAGATCGTGGCCGAAAACATTCCGTTCCAGCGGATAGAGGAGCGGTACGACCGCATTCCCGAGCCTGTGCAGAGACGAGTTATTTACTGGTCGTTCCCTAGGGACGAACGCGACATCTGCATGTACTCGTCCCTGTCGCGAGTGCCGCCGGTTAGCACGAGTGGTGAACACCAAAACCTGTCCTTTTATAAGGGATTAAAACTCTTGGAGTCGGGGTGCGTGGATAGCGTCCTGCAAGTCGGTGAGTGATGTGCAGTGTTTTGAGTGCTTGTTATGTGCGGGACATAGCCCGCTCATGCTCCGAGCGGAACAAGCAATGTGTCACTTTTGTTTCATTAGAGGCGTACTTGAAAAGGGGTGTTAACCCTATTGGACATAAGTATCGTTTTTGTAGTAGGAGAGATCACCCAGAAACCGACACACAAAAGACGGGCTCTTTGGTTTTAGGGGGAGAGAAAAGGATGATTTCTTTTGTGGGGGAGGGGGCAATTGAATTTTTCATCCCAGAAGGTTCCAGCCAGTGCCCGCTTGTCCCGGTACAGGTGTGTTGCTGGGATGGGAAATGAATTATATTCGGAATATGTAGCAGAGAATAGAAATGTTGTAGAATGCCGTCAGCTCGGTTGTGACGGCATATAGTCTGGTAGAATGTTACCGACGTTTCGGAGGAGCGTACTTTTTCATGTTCAAGTCGAAAAGCAAATCCAAGCAGAGGAGCGAAACGTCGGCAAAGTCTGACCAGACTACACGGCGTTACATACCACAATATAGTACGTTTCATAGTAACCGCCGTGAGAATCCGGACACGAACAAGGTTAGTAGCGTCTGTAACCGCGGCAGAACATTGGGGTGGGGCTGCAGGGCACCGTGTACTTTGGGTTCCAGAACGGAATTTGGTTCGGGATCGAGGATAATTACGGAAAACCTCAATCGAAATTCTCGGTCACAAGACATTCGGGTTGAAGAGTGACTCGTCTGGGGAACGAATACGCGAACCGTAGCCAGAGAGTCCGAGTGTGTACTGTTGCTGCACAGTTTAATGTTGCGTGGCTTTCACGTCGGTTTCTTTGGACGAGCAAGGAATACGATGGGATGATAAGATCCCATTATTCCAGTCGACTTTTACCAGATCCATTCGTTCCTTCTAAAGAAACACGAATTTCTTCTTCGTAATTTCTAAAGGGTTCAGTTCACATTGCGTCGCCATTTTAAAGAACAACAGCCAAATTCTGTGTAGACAAATAATCGCTCTTTATTCTGAGAAGCGTATGAAACACGCAAGTGCAGTCGGTGGAAGAAATGCTAAGATTTCTAATGTTTAAGCAGGCGGTTCATGCAGTGTAACCACTGTGTTTTAAACAGATAAAGAATGGAGTACTTAGCACAAAGAGTATTTAGAAAGAAACCATGCTTTGCCCAGAACGGTCCTGCTGGAGACCTCTAAGAAAGCGAATAATGTGTTGTCACTGTGTTTCAATTCAGTAACCTACTGTTGCTCTAAGTAAGCAGGCATTGACGTAACGAAATTGCTCATGATTATACAAATATGTTTATCTGTAGGACGGTTTTATCATTGTTGACTAATCGTAGGTAGCATAAACGAAAAATTTAAATCAACGCGTGTTTGAAAGACATAAGGAAAAATTATGTACATGTATATTACAAAAGATTACGGAATCTGCTATTTGGTAACCATGGAAACTAGCAAAGAACAACGCTTTGAAGGACTCTGTCATTGTAACTCGATACAGTCTCGTTAGTGTTAATCGCTATCACATTTTCAGGTCTCTTTAACACAGCAACTGTTGGAGCATCATGGCATACGTTTTTCGTAAAACCGCCTCCTCGGCTCTAAGTCTCGTAATTATAACCTCTCACCTGTTTGCCATTTGTCGAATAATCGGTGGTTATTCTTTACGGTTAATAAATCTACCGGCCGTTTACCATTTATCGAATAGTAGGTGATTATTCATAGGCTGATAAAATTGTATTAAATCTAGAAGAACTTGTAGCTAATTTGTTTCATTTTGAAGTGTGTAGTTAGGAAAACGTGATGCAGTAATGTAGCTTGTACAGTTGACAAGTGTTGTACTGTACCCGTGCGTGGGATAAGTACAGCTCTTCCCAATTGAACTGTTACTGCAGCAACTGGACACGGCCCATTAGTCGTCAATTTTGAATATGTTGTAATTTATAATAAATTTAAAGGGTTGAAGGCTCCTTGTATGGACTTGAGACTGTTTTACAGGTTGCTTGCCTAATTGGGCATTTACTTGATTACAGGAAACTGATTTGCCTATTTTGAACTAGAGTAAACTTTGGGAAGAGAAGGCCAGTAGATGTGTGTATCCTTAGCACCACTAGACACCGTTTAACCCTTTGAGACACAGTGGTTACTACATGTACTACCTGCTTTAAAATTAAACAACTTAACATTCTACCCACGCTGTGTATTTGTGTTTCATATGATTCTTAGAGTACACGGCGATCGTTCTCTAAACAGCATTAATCGGTCGCTTGTTGCTATGGAGACGCACTGTGTTTCCCATGAGGTACGAATCAGTGTGGTGCCTACTCAAACCCCTCCCTTCGCCGAAGAGGAGGCCTCATTTTCAGACACATAAATGGTCTTGGAATAAACAGAAACGTCATGAGTCCCGACAGGTCCCGAAGCCAAGAATAAATGTGCTGGCGAAGGCCAGGAGCAATTTATTGCCATGCTATGCTCACAAAAGGTCGAACCCCTCCTGTTGTAGAAGAGGAGACTATTTTCCAAAAGGTAAATGGTCTTGGAAAGAGCAGAAATGTGGTCATGGGTCACTGCAGAGCCCGAAACCAAGAATGACTGTGCTGGCGAGGACCATCAGCAAGTTCCTGCTCTTCTCAGGCTTCCAGGCCTGAGATAGAGCTCGTGGTTAAGGATCGAGATGAAATTGTGGTGTGAAGTGTTTTTAAGAGTTCGGTCTGTTTGCAGGCAGAGTGTTTTTGACTGACGAACTTGCTGATGGAATGAAGAGTAAATATAAGGTAAAAAAAGAGGGAAATTTATCCGTGTAACAGGTCGTGAAGGTCCATAGGGTTGTGAGACGTCGAGGCTCCCACATTTTCTCTAGACAGTCGGCTCACAGATGGCTATGAGGTTTTGTCAACTTTATGCGCTAGCCGCACTTTACCCCCCAAGAAGATTCCTGGTACTCATTTCTGAGTCGACCCCGGGGCCATAGTTCGGCTGGGAGGATTAGGTAAATTGAAAAAATCCACTTCATCGGGAATCGAACCCGCGACCTTCCGGCTTGTAGCATGCTGCCTCAACCAACTACAGTACCGCGTGCCCCCCCCCGAAGACTCGAGCTAGTGAAGCTTTAATAAGCTTAATAAGAGAAACGCGAGATACCGATTTCACATATGGTTAACAGAATGTAGAAAGCCGTTTATTTTTATGTACACAGTGCAGACTGAAAAACTGAAAAAAAATCCAATATCGTGGAATAACTTTCAGAAGGATTTCCCTGTTCACGAATCTGTACGCCGCAGTGAATCTTCGGGTTCAGGTGGTGTACAAGGCGGTACGTTTCTCGACGTAGACGAGAAAGTATTCTGGGTTATCAGTCGCACTTCTCGCCGTCCCTGTGCAACTTCGTCGACGTATTAAAATTCACGCTTCGAGAGCATTCGTCTTCCCCGTTATTCTGCCCAACTGGCTGCCATCATCATGTGTACAAGTTGCAGAGGAAACTGCTGCCCTTGTCACGCTGCTACACTTCGCGTTTTAAAGGTGAAAAATATTAAATCAATTTTTCTTAAAATATCATACCGTGATTATTTCGTTGTTTGCGCGTGTTGTGGGGTCTCGTGTACATTCTGTTGGTGTGCTGTGTATAGCTGTGCAATGTGATTCCATGATGACGGCGAGAGATTAAAAAAAAATTAAAATATTTTGTAAGTATTTTACACCTTTAAAAAGCAAAGTGTAGCAGCGTGACAACTGCAGCAGTTTCGTATACAAGTTGCACACCTGATGATGGCAGCCATTTGGGCCGAAACATGTAGAGTTCCAATAATGTGAAGAGACGAATGCTTTTGAAGTGTGGATTTTAATACGTACATCGACGCAGTTGCACAGGGGCGGTGAGAAGTGACTGATAATCTAGAACACACGGTGCAACGGGATGCCGCAGTGTGATATTATGAGCAAACATTAGTTTCCGAAGAAGGGTAGCTCTGTGCCTCATGCAAGTACAATAAAGCCTCGCTAATCCGCATTAATTGTGAGGGAGGTCATCCGGATAACCGATAATCCAGATTAATGAAGTGAAAGATATCCCTAAAAGAGAAAGAAACTTAGAAAACAAAAAATGGAAATTGTAATAATATAAGCAGTGCTGATGCAAATAAAAATATATCACTACAGCAGTTTCTTCCTCTGTCAGAAGCTGAAATCCAGGGCCTCCTTTAGCCAGCGGAAGCCAATCTTGGGTATTTTCTTGCGTGGTTTCAGTCTCTCCAGCTGCCCTCAACACAGTCTGAAAGTGCTCCTGCTCTAATCCCCCTTCCTCCTAAATCCCATGTGTATTTTATGGCATGTACTCATTTGTGAACAGAATTTCTCATATTTCGATCCGGATTAGCGAGGGTTAACTGTAGTGAAAGAGGATCAGAGACAGCTCAGATTTGGGATTTCCGTACAGAGCACAGTGACGAATACCTCAGTGGCGCTAAGCAAGAAGTAACACGAGGGGTGAAGGGAACAGTGTTTATGAATGCCAGGGCTGTAATTTCAGCATATAAAGGAGAAATTGTGTTAACCTGAAATGGAGGGGCTATATCTCTGCCTGCTTGACACTACCCCCCTATATTTTAGTGTTTCAGTTGCGTACAGACGTGCGAAATGGTTTACCAGCCGCCACTGCGATGCAGTGTCCACAATACTTTACTGATGTGAAAATATGCATAGGAGTCATGGCGTTGGAATTAAGTTTGTACACGATTGCAAGAAATGTATCCGTGCAGGTGTCGTCTGCCTGTTGGTGCAATAACTTTGTGTTTGTGTTGAGTCATTTAGTTCATATACGTAGATTTGTGTTAGGGGATCGCAAATGCCGAGATCTTGTTGCATTGCTAGTGTTGCTCAACCTCACATGCTGAACACACACACACATCTTGCTCATGTTGAAACCGATGTTCTTGGAACTGACGCTATTCTCTGCGGTCTCACTGAATAGCTGTAGGGAATACGTTCCA